CAATTTGGGATTTCATAGCCCTACCACAGAGTCCAGGCTGTTTTAAACAAAGTCCCCACCCTTCTGAATGCAGAGACAGCAGATGAGCAACTGAATTCCCCTTTTACTCTCACCAAGGGAAGAACCCTGAACTCCCCAGGTAGTCAATAAGATCTTAATTAAACTCTAATTATGACAATAGAAATGCTACACCTTATCTATTTTGGTTCCCACCAGCCAGCCCATTCCCCATCCCTGATGTCTAGACGTGGAAGCTGCAGGTGTGTCTACACACAAACTGAAACCAAAAACAAATCTAGGTCACAGACTCCAGCAGCCAAAGATGCAAATGGCATCAATTCAGTTCTTTCAGCTCCAGTTCATGTGCAGAAAAATCCTGATGATCTCATCACCTGAGGACTGAGGGCTGTTCCTGATCCATACATCTTGAAATTACACCCTCGGGGCAGCAGATGCAATCAGGTTACCGCAAGTAGCGTCCTGTCCAACTTGTTCAGCAGTGAGTGCTCTGCTCCCCTGTCAGCTTTTTCATCAAGCAACTGCTCTTCGCTTTGCTCCAAGTTTGGATCTGAACTACTCCTTGCAGAGCTCCCACCACATGCCTCCCCTTGCTTTCTTTTTCTGAGGTTCTCTGTCACTGCTGTTGTCAAAGGTGAACCTGAGACAGGGTCTTGTGAATAGGAACACTGCCAGATCTGACCTTATCACCCTAGAAATTAAAGACAAATACTATAATTGACCAACTCAATGTAGCAAAAAAGCCCTTTGTTTGAAATGAGGAGACTAGCACAATTCTCTCCAATTTCACATCATACCTTTTTGGGCCTAATTTCAAGCCATCACTGATGTTTCTCTAAATTATTTAGAAGAGAGAAAAAACAAACCAACCAACTCCTCCCTCCACACTTAACAAGGCAGTGGTGGCTTGGCTTCTTAGACTCCCCACAGATGCAGGCTGCTCCTAAATAATAGTTTTATACCGGGGCTGTCAAGGGTGTCCCTTTCACCCAAGTGAGTACGTAGATGAAGAAAGAAAAACAATGTTGCTGTTAGGTCAGGAGGGTTGTATTCACTAAGCAGGACTCTACAGCTCTCACAGTCATGTTAATGGTCCAGAAGAGCTGGAAACTCTCTAGAGAAAAAGCAGGTCTCTCTCAGTGCTTTGTTGCTTGCAGAGGTTGCTCTTTGAGTAGAAACACCAATTAATGTCCTAACAAATGCAAAATGACAATCCTAGAAGCCTTTGCTTCATTTTCTATCCACAACTAACGGTATGAGGAAGTGGCTGAAAGATGTAAAAGCCAAGTCTTTCAAGTGCTCAGTTCCAGAGCTGGAGCCAGGACCTCAGGAGCAGTCAGTCCTTAGAGACTCCCTGCTTTCTACTGCCACTAAAGCAGCTTTGAAAACTACTTTTGAAGATGTAGTCATATATTCAGATGTTCAGGTAGGAATAAAGTGCTATGGCACTGGACACAGGAAAGCCACACGAGGAAAACAATTCTCAAGTCAAGAATAGCTAACAGGTAGAGACTCCAACAAGTGTTCAAAGCTCGGAGAAGCCGAACGGGACAGGGTCTTGGCTAGGAAGTGGTGATGGCTGGACAGTGTTCACATGCTTAAGCTTTGGTCCCAGGCAGAGAACTTCTTGTGTTCAAGCTTAAACCGGTCTGTGAGAAATACAGCCTGGATGCTACCACAGTATGGGCCAAGGCCACCATATTTTCTGAGCTGATACCAAACTGATGTTCGTGACGATACAGCTGGAACTAACAGCAAAGCTGCATGGGCTTTAGGCTGGAGCACTAATGCCTCCAATCCAGGAAACATGTAAGCACATGCATAACTTGAAAGGAACAGCTGGGAGGTCTGAGGGACTGGCTCTAGTGCTGGAAATCATCATCAGGAGATTGCGTATAGCTACAAAGCCTGTTATCTTCTAGAAGCCCAGATGCTGCTAGAAATGAGACCTGCATCCTTTTAGGTATTGCAACAAGAGAAGCACTACTCATAAGAGAAGGTGGGGCAGGAAAAAAAAGTCTTTAAGACAAACTAGGATAGAAACAGCATGAAATAGGAAAATAATCACCATGGCCCTGGCATGGAGACAAACTAATCTTTTCGTACTCCCTAAAATTGCATAGATCTTAGAACAAGAGGGGGGAATTGAGGACACAGTAAAGTATTTCACAGATGTGTACACATCATTGTGTACCATATAGAAATGAGACTTTTATGGCCTGGCTAGAAGGGCAGCCAGCCTGAGTTGAGCAAGAACAAAGAGACTTGGCAGGTAAAATAAGAGAGTCATTAAAAAAAGATAAAGAGGAAACTGGAACAGATACAGCCAAAGAGAGTCCCATGACAGGCAACATTAGCTGTTTTATGTGTAGGGTTTTTTTATTTTATTTTTTGTCTCTCTCTCCTCACAGGAGAAGAAGGAAGTCTCTAGCTTGGGTTTGTCTGCATTTTGCTGTTACTGAGCATTGTGCAACCCCATGGAAACAATCAATGATAAAGTGTCCAGACCTTCACCTGCAATAACATCCCCACACCAACCACACCTTGTCCAATAGTATGGACCAAAAGAGGGACCTAGCTAATAACAATGCATTGCTTGTAAGTGGCCTGGGATTCCTCTTCACCAGGTAGTACAACCATGTCATAAGCGAAAGAAAGAGCAAGCCCTATGCAGGAACAAACTGAGAGCACTAAACTTGCTTCTCTGCCAAGTAAATAATTGCTCTGCAGCTCTGCTGCAACAACAAAAACAGTAATTTCTTGCACAGGATTAGACCATTCCTTATGGCTTTTTGTCCCCATTTTCCCCAGCAGAAATTTGTAAGTCGTCTTGTCCCTTCACTCACTTGAAAGGCAGACACAGAAATGGTCTGACACCAGGGGTTCCTGGACAGCAGCAGCACAATACCACAGGAAATAATTTTCGAAGAGCCTATTTCAAAGTTTTTCGTTAGATTACATTAAACACATAATTAACACAACTGCCTGAACAAACTGAGAAGAAAGCTCTGAAATCAAAGATTTACTGAATTGTCAACCATGAGAGTCCACAAATCAGGTTCTGAAATAACCATGAAATCAGCTTAGGAACATAAAAATCGTCTGCCTCTGGTTCTCCCTTTCCTTGACTTGCCTGTATTGGAAATCTAGTAGTGGGCAGAAGTGAGGGTGTGAATTTATAGTGCAGTAGCTGCTCCAGACCTGCTCCCACAAGGGCACAGTGTGCTTCTCCGGGAAAGTGAGCAAGCGTGGCAGGAGCCACAGCTCGCACGATGTACATGCACACCCCCACCCACCATTGGGTAATCATGGGCTGTGATTTTCCCGACTAGAGCTAAGCTTCTCCTGCAGTTCTGGTTACCCTGAGCCTCTTAGCTGGGTTCTCACAATAAATGTCACCACGCTGGGCAGCTCAGGATGTTGCAGCTTCCTGACTCATGTGGTGTTTATTTCACCTGCAAAACAGCACTGCAACAGCCACTCTTTGAAGAAAGCTGTGTGAAGGCCCAAAGTCAGCATCAACAGTTGCATGAGCTTAACAGAGACATGATTTGCAACCTGTATTTCTCAGCCTCCTACCACTTTCTTACAAGGCAGTGGAGAAAGCACATGCCTCCCTCTTCTCCCCACCCCACCAGTCCTATCCTGCTAAACCAGAGGGGCAGTGTCAGCAAGAGAAAAACACAGGCAATAATGTTAGTAAAGCCTCAATCAGACAAGAGGCGGAGGAGATGGGACTTCCCAGTGGCTGTGAGCAAACAGTGGCTGCACAAGGATTCAAAGCCCAGTTAAGCAAAAGCCTGGATGTGCCCAGCTCCGAACAAGGGAAGAGAGGAGTTCAGATGCCCTGTCTGCAGTTAAGAACTGCACAAGTGATGCACCCTAGGCTGCCACACTATTCCCTGCACCATGGTTCCCTGACAAGATTGGCTGGGGTAGCAGCATTTCTGACAGCCGCCCCAAACTGCTGTCCCTGCCCTTACTGGGCTTCACCTCCCCTTCTGCTCCTTCCCTTCCAGCACGGGAAACTCTGCCTCAGTGACAGAACAGGCTTCAGGATGCAGGGGAAAGGCTAAGACATCAGCTGAAACTCCCCAGACCCATAACCAAAGGTCCTCCCACCTTGGGCTACAAGGGCATGCTGCAACAGCAGCTCTCACCTATTCCTAAGCAAATGACACTTTCTCTCCCCAGACTAACACCTCCCTGCAGCAAAGGCACCCCAGGCCAGAGAGCAACCTTATGCCTGCTTGTGAACCCACTGGACAGGCAGGGACAGAAATAGACACTGCTCCCTGGTGTATTTAGTTCAGAAAGGAGAGCCCACAACCACGTCATCCAACAGATGGACAACACGGAAGTTGTTCTGCTTGCCTGGTGTGACACAGTGAACACAAACAGCAGTGCTAAACTCCAGTTGGTTTGCAAATACAAAGGCACTTGCACAGGGGCCTGCACCAGCCTGCGGCGTTCCGTGCAGGAAGCTGTGCTGTGCCACTCCTCACCTGGTTCCAAAGGGCGGCAGGGGGGACAAAAAACCAAAAAACACTTTCCCCAGTGCAGAGGATGGGTGCCTATTTCTGAGGGCACTGAGAGGTCCACTGCAATACCTTTCCAACCAGCGCTTACTTGTCAGCTTTACTCATAGCACCCCTGCTTCCCACAAGTGATTGCAGCTTTCTTCTTAACTAGCTATTACAAAAGCAAGTTTAGACACTGAGCCTCAGCCTGCCCCAGGGTCCTACACAGCAGCCCAGACAGGGTCAGAGAGAGCAGACATCCAAAGGTCCTGTGTCTCTTAGGGTGAAGCCCACCCAAGGCTGCCCAGGGAAGAGGAGAGGGGTCTCCCCAGGCCAGGTCTAAATGAATTTAGGATATGGCCTGAACTCCTACAGCTAACACATTCTGCTGAGGATACAGGCAAAGGCATGGGCTGCAGGGAGAAAATGCAAGTCTCTGGGTAGAGAACACTTAGCCCATACCCCAGCCCATGCTCTTGCTGCTGGGATATCCACCCAAACAGCCAGCCTGGCACCCTGCACACCACTCCAACTCACCTGGGAGAAGTTCAGCCCGTTAAGCGGGTGGCACTGCTCCTCCACTTTCTCCACAGCACCCGTTTGTTTCCTCAGACGCTCTGCTTCTTGGGCCAGGTACAGATCCAGGACAGGCACACCTCGTGACTTGATGTCTGCTTCTGTCAGAGAGTTCACCATCAGCATCACCCACACCGGCCTCTTCCGCTCCCAGTTGCCAGCAATGGCATTGAAGAGGTAGTCTGCGTACAGCCCTTTGCCCCGCTGGTCTGGTGTCATCCAGGATGGCATCATGAGCTTGACGTACTCCAGGTGCCGCTTGAGCCGGCAGTAGATGTCGTGGGGCAGCACATCCTGGAGGTTCTCCCCCTGTGGCAGGAGCTGGCAGCTGGTGAGAGCTGAGATGGTGTAGGGGTCAGTGAGGTCCAGCTCAAAGTACACAATGTGGCTTTGTTGGAAGGCCTTTTTGGAGTTCTCTGGGATGAAATCCCAGACACGTGTGTACGGGACATGAATGGTGCCAAAAAAGTAAGATGGAGGATCTCTCTTGATGGTCCACAGGAACGAGTTCAGCTCACTTTGCTGGGGGAGAGGGAGACACAGTGGAGTAAGTACAGACATTTACATTGGGCCACTGCAGTACAGGGCTTAAGGAAAACATGGTGCCAAGCCAGTAGGTCACCTGGCTCAGCAGCTTGCCAGCATAGACTTTTTCTACAGCGGCTTTGCTCACATTGAGTCCTCTCTCCTTTTTCTCAGGTCTTGGGGTCAAAATTCAACTTTCATGAACTAAAAACACAAGAATATTGGCCTTCACTTTCTCCTCCTGAGAGGCAACACTAGGTCTTTTCAACATTAATGCCACCCCGGCTCTTCACCCAAGTATCTGCCAAAACCAGCAGAAGAGCACAGCCCAAGAAGGCCATGCTCCAGGCAAGACGCTTATCCAGCTTCTGCCTTTTAAAAAGTTAAAAGCCAGCATTGCTTTGCTGAAGCAGAGCAAAACAGCAATGTTTCAAACACCTTCACTGTGACCCCTCTCAGTTCAGCACAGCAAGGCATGTTTTGTCAAAGAAACTAACATGACACTCAGTCAGAGGGTGCCACAGCATCTCGGGAGAACTTTCCACTCTGAGCGAGACACCAAATAAACATATAACACAAAACACAGCTGGCAGGCAGACTTGCTGAGGAAGGGAGAAATACAGTTTTACAGGGATGTAGCTCATGGCATACAGGCACACAGTCAAGATCCCTCCCAGCCCAATTCTCCTCCTTCTTAATGAAGAGAGAAGCACCTGCAATACCTTGGAAAACAAGGGAAGAAATTCTGGAGGCCAAACACAGCCTGTGGTTCCAGGACATACTTTTTAAAAAATATTCTTTCTTTGGATTAGCTTTTAAAATCTCTCAAAAACCACAGCCATCAGGAATTCAGAATCAGACTTTAAGTTTGTTCTGCTGCAAAGCAGGAATACCAGAGTATGGGGCTGTGCTCAAGCCCTAAGCAATCCTGCAGGACAGGAGAGCAGATGGGGCAAAATGGACACTGCTTGGATCCTGACAAGTCACTTTACACCAGCAGCAGGGATGACCTCCCATCACCTACAGCATGCACCCCAGTGGTGCAGCAGTCCTTACTGGAGCAATGAACACAAACAGTTTCTATCTGTCTGCATATACAGGAAGAGGTAGCCTTTGCATGACTAAGTAAGAGTACAGCCTTCCAGATACACTCAAACATCTGGTCAGCGTTTAGTAAACAGATAACTCTAACCTCAATTCTGAGGCTAAGTGTGCATGTGTGCTGATCTAAGAAGCCTGCCTGACTGCCAAATGCAGAACAGGCTGCTTGGAGGAATTTATTGGAAGCACATTGTCCATAAATTTCAGATACTAAAGACCCAGGGTTACAGAAAGTTAAAGACTGCTCTGCAATGCCTCATCCCGGAAAACCTTCTCCAGCACCTCTCTCCTTCAAACCCAGGCCACAGATCTGGCAACACTTCAAAGTGCTGCACCAGTCCAGCTTGCTAGTATGGACCGACAAACCAAATACACTCCAAAGAGCTCTTCAGACACTTCTGCAGCATGTCAAGAGTCTGAAGGATACTTCAGACCTTGGTAACACCATTCTACAACTCCATATTCTATAGGACAGTCCTGGAATGCCCTCCTGAATTACAGACCATAAAAACTCTCCTGAAGACCATATGAAGATGTGATGCAGCACCAAGAGGTAAAGAAGATACAGGGCAACACGTGAGTACGAATATGACATAGACCCAGGAAGAACACAGGAAAATGAATATGCAAAGTTAAACAAGAGGGAAAACGAGATGGAGTTCCATCCTGTCATTAGTCAGAAGGGAAAAAACGGAAAGACACACCACTGTGGTGAGAAATGAACCGGAAGCAGTCATCAGCCAGCATGGGGGAAGGACAAGAAGTGCCACTTTCTATCCACAAGCATGCAAAAAGACAGAAAAGGCACTTGGGACAGGCACAAGGTTGGGAGGCCAACACTCCTTCATTCTGCACAAGTCTGACCACATACACGGCAGTGCACATGAACAGCTATGACTGCAAGAAATTGTAACGAACCAGTGGTCACCAGTCAGCTTAAAACTTCAGCCAGAAGGCTCAAACTCAGATGGATGGTACCAGACTTTAGCATGGATCACCAGCTCTGCTCCAGACTCCTGCACACAGCCCAGCTAGAAAGGTATTTGACACTACCCTCTCTTTTTTTGCTCTGCAAATGCCCCCAGCTTTCATAATCGCATACTGAAAGCCAAGTAATACTACCAGTTATTAGTGGCACCACTTGAGGAAATCACACAGGCCATCAGGCACAGAGTGCACAAAGTCTTCCTTTAAAGAGCCTGCAGCAAAAGTGAAAGTGGGCGGAGACCTAGCAAAACTTCTCACACAGTCCTAGAGACCGAGATCTTACAAAGCAGAGTGGCTGGGCACTCTTGCTGGCACTTCCACACCAACAGGAGCAGTCATGAACTTGTCCAAGCGCCGTTCAGACCTCCCTTCTCAGAATTGCTTGGAGCCAGAGGGGCCAGAGAACAGACCTCAGTTTTCAACTGTTGACAGGAATCCTCCTCAGACCCTGCAGAGCCAGTTTCTGGGCTCCAGCAGGTGGGTATCATTGCCAGGTGATGGTACAATGGGAGCTCACAAAGCTCACTCTTCCTCCAAAAGGTGTAATTACAGCTGCTCAGGACAGGCTAATGCCTCACAGTCCTTTGGCATCTCCTTTTCCTTTAGGAGGTGGAGACTGGAGTTCCCAGCAGTGCTTTGCCTTTATGCCAGACCCCTGCAAACAGCCCACTTTGCTTTGTGTGAGAGGGGATGGGGCAAAGTCCCTGGTGTGCCTAAGCAGGTCTGTGTTTCCTCTGCTGTACCTTCTGGCACTCTCATGTCCCTGTGTACCTCCTGGAGCTCACATGTGTTTCACTGCAGCTCCAGAGAGGTAAAAGCAAGGGTACAATCTCTCCCCAAGACCGTAAAAGGGAAGATGTTAAACAATGGTCTAGGTGGGTTTAAGATAGCACACGAGCAGTGCCGAGTCTTGTTCAGCATTGCAGTATATGCTGTCAGTGGCAGCGCCTCTCTCTCACTCACTTCACTGAGAGCATGCAGTAGATAAAGGTGCTAAGCCCAACTTTCCTTTGCTGTAGGATCCTCCTACACAGCTGTTACAACATCAGAAAGGAGTGCTTTAAAATCAGCATAAATTACAGTCAAAGTGGTGTCCTGGAGGCTTAAGAGAGCTGGGTTGTATAGCTCCAGGAATTTCACTTTGACCAGCCTAACAACAAAAAGTCAGGTTCACATATAGATCAAGATGACTATTTCTGTCTCCACTCTCCGATTTATGGGTAGAACTCAATGCATCACTCGAGAGGGGAAAAAGTAGGAGCAAGGGGAAGAACGGAGCCTAAGAAAGGGAGCCGCAGTCCTGCATGAGAACACTCTCCTCCCAGTTTGCTGCCACACCAAGATCCGATGCAGCGTCACACTAGCCACACCTCCTCTGTGCCTCGAGTTTAACCTCCCACTACATAGTCCCAGACCAAGGCATTTCTGAATGGCCAGCACTATGGCACAGTGCATTCTCCCAGGTGAACAACAACTGGCTGTGAACTGGTTCAGGGTATCAGACCAGCCAAAAAATTGCTTGGAACAAAAAAAGGAGAAAAGGAAAGGCTTTTCCCCAGCCAGCAGGGGAATGAGGGAGAAGGAAAAGGAGCTGCTCAAACTGACACTGTCACAGAGACAATGCATAGGATCCACTCCCTACCATGAGGCTGGGAAAGCCTCCCTTCCCAATCAGGCTGCACAGGGGACAACCTCCACTGCCCACCATGAGATGCAATGGGTGCACATAAGGCCAGAAAATGTTTCCCCAGAATGAAGGGATAACAGTGTGAGGCACTGCAGAAATCCTGGAAAAGCATGGTGCACATCAAGGGTCTTTCCTCAGGAGCTCAGGGAGGGTCTAGGCAAGAACCAAAAAACCTTGAAGAGGGTAAAATGATGCTGCAGACTGAGATCAGTAGCTGAAACCAGAGCATGCTAGTCCTGTATCCCAACATCTGCCCTCTAATGACATAGCTGGTTGTCCACAGGTAGCGGAGGAAACTCCCATGACCTCCTGCCTTCTGTCTGCTTCAGCAGAACAGAGGTATTTTCATTATCTAATAGGTTTATTTTTTTAAGATTTAAAAAACCACAAGTCCCAGATTCTGTTCATTTTGACTCCACCCCCAGCAACTTGCTTTTCCAGCAGTATTTATAGGTCCACCATAGGATGCAACCTGTAGTCTTGAAATACACAAATACTACTGCATTTGTCAGACATCACGCATCATTTCAGGTGAGACAGCAATGAGTCTGCTGGAAGAGTGGTGCTGAAGAGGATCAGAAAAAGTATCATTTTTCTTCTCAGAAACTAGCTCAAAATGGGCCAAATGATGCACTGACAGTCAAAAGTAAAATTATAGTAAACATCCAGAAAACAATGCAGCAAAAACCAGGAGGAACAAAGAATGGCAGCACTCTGAATGTCTAGAAGAACATGGGAGTTTAAAAACAAAAAAATTTAAAGAGGGAAGGTTGTGATGATACAGGGAATGGAGGCTCAGAGGCAAGCTGTTGTCCAAACACTGAGGAACTAGATGGGAAAACTACACCAGGTCTGCTTCTTTTACATCACTTCTGCTTCCTTCCATCTTCTGTCTGTCTCATATGTAGACTATACATTATCTATCACAAAGTGGATAACTTGCTGTGCAGGTAGGTGCCCTCTGTGGCTTCAGTGTCTTTCAGGACCCCTAATCCTTCCTACTCACCACTTGGCCCCACAGCCACATCTTCCAAACCTCAGTCCAGGATTGCACTGTTTCTCAGTTCACAATATTCTCTTAAATGTTTTTTGCTTGCTACAGAAGCCAGAGCACCTGGCATGCAGCAATTCACCCAGGCAGGCAGCCCTATAACCCTTCGTATATCTCCCTCTCTCTTACCTACCCTGGTGTCGTATCTTGTCATGTTCATTTATACCTAAT